TGCAACGCTGTTTTTGACTGATGAACGTTCACTTCTGTTAGATTTCTGATCGAGATCAAGGTTTTCAATATTGGGTGTGATGTCATCTGGATTATTAAAGTCCTGGATGCTACTTTCTTCAACAGTGTTCTTGTATTTTTCATTCTTCGCATCAAACTTACCATTTTCCAACAAAATATCTGCCTTGTTTCGTTCAAGAATATCTTTGTGCTTTTTTTGAGCTTGCAATTTGGCATTCATCTGAGAGTAATTAAATTTTTATTGAAGGTGTTCAGATGTAATGTGTATGTACCTCCCAACAGTAGGCGCGTAGGCAGGTACGTGCTCTTATTGTACAGTACACGTTATTATGCAAGATGACACAAAATAAGTAAATTACATGGAGATATTAACAACAAGAATAATTTAAATATTTTTTAATAATCCTGAACATGCCTGGGCGATTTGTTCAAACAGGAGTGGTCTGCTGGATATTCTTTGCTTCATTTCTTTTAATTCTTTTTTATATTGTTTCTCTCGCTCCTGTTCACTCAACCTTCATTTAAGTGTGGTGTGGTGAAATATTCGCTTATTAAGTGAAATGCGTGTACAAATTAATTCCTACAATATTAAATTGAATTTTGAACAATTTGTCAATGCTAACTTTTGATTTTTAATTTTTTTCTCGATGCTGCCCTGAACGAACTGAAAATCATGAGCCGTTGACTTTTCTCGGACAGATTTTTGTAACATTTTGTTTTGCAACTTTTTCATTTGTGATTGCTTCAAACCCATTTCAATGAGATTTTGCGCTCGTTCAATTTGGCTCCTGTTGCGTTTTAAAATAATCTATTTAATTTGTGTTATATTTTTAAATAATATTTTTAATTCAAAACATAAAATGGTAAGAATTATTTATTTATTAAACAGTAGCGTTGACCTTGCCTGTTGGGCTCTTAGAACTGAGGTCTTGGTTTCTGTTATCGGAATGGTGTCGGTAGAAACAGGAAGAAGCTCTGGGATAAATATTTTTAAAAATAAAGTGTTAAATATTTGTTTAGTATTTTTTGGCTCACATAAAACCGGTTCACAATGGGCACACTACACATTGAAGGGGGTTGTTGTGAGTTGGTTCGAAGGCGGGTTGCTGTAAACGTAAAAGTGGATGTTAGGGGACGCGGTGTCAAATTGCCTGCAGTGACCGGGATCGAATGCAAAGAGATCCCCGCCTGTCACAAGCGAAGACTGTGGAGCATTGATTCATGTGCCTTCCCATCCATTGTGTGTAGCTGATAACTCTAAAAAAATAGTGTCTAGGAGTAAATATGACTAAATAAATGAATGAATGAATAAATGTTGTTGTGAGGATGGATGTTGTTGTAAAGATAGGTTTTGATTTGAAAATGTTGTTTTGAAGGGAGATGTTGCATTTGCATGGAATAGGACTAAACAGCGCTTATCAAAATGAATATCGGTACTTTTAGTTATCCATGCAAACGTCGTAATTTTGGAAATTTGAAGTTCATTTATGGGAAACGGATTTTAAATTAAAAAATTACTTGCAAAAGAGGACCGTTCATTTGAATGTCTCAAATCATTCAAAGTCGAAGTTGATGATCTTCTTTTAGTTTGTACTTTTTTTTTCTTCATTTCAGTTTCGAAATGAAAAGGTTCACATTTTGTTGCACATCTTTCTTTAATTTGAACATTTTTGCTGAGAGACTGCAAATATATTCGATCAAAATTAGGCACCTCTCTATGAATTTTTGGATGAAATTTATTCAATTCTTCTTGGATGAGATCGAACATCATTCCTTTGGCTTGTTTGTTTTTCTTTTGTTCCAGTCTTTCTTCATGTTCTACTATGGCTTTTGGCGTCTCAGAATTTTTTAGCATAGTTTTACTTCTTAAAGTTTTTGCAAAAGCTCTTTTATTTTCATTTTCTTGCATTCTCAAATCAATTTCTGAGGAAAAAATTTTACTTGGAAATCGATTAGCCTTAAACATATTTTTAGTTAATTTATCTGTAGATACATCAACAGTTTTTTTATTCATTGGCGAGAATGAAAATGGCTTCGAGAGAACTTGCATTCTTTCTTTACTTTTTTCTTTCAGAATTTTTTTCCTTTCTTCATTCTGCTTTACAATTTGATCGTACAATGGTTTTGAAACAAAGCTAGGAACTGTGTGTGCCTTAAACTGTTTCTGACATTCTAATTCTTCCAATATCTGTTCTCTCATACGCTTCTCTTCTAATTCTATAACAACTTTTGATTTTTTATTCCGAATATCATTTGAAAATGCAAATGGCTGGGGTGTTGTAATATTTTCATTCCATGCTTGAACGGGTTGCTTTGTTTTGTTAGATGTTAAATTTTGTTGAAAAATTTGAAATTGTTTATCAGCTGCCGTGATCATAATTGCAATTAAAACTAATTATTCACAAGACTTAAAAAGTTAAAAAATTCTGTAAAATTATCTTCTTTTCGTTGGCGAGCTCATATTTAGCGCTGAGTTATACATAATATCATCGTAGGTTGTAAAACACAATAAATTTATATGAAGACCTTTTATAAAATTAAATAAACAAAAATTTTCATTATAATATAACTAAATATGTTGTTAAGAAATAATAAAAAAATTAAAAAACAGAATTTTCGTATTTATGCTTTCTTCCTTTAATTAACAAATTATTTGTTCTCTAATATAATATTTTAAAAAATAAAATTATTGTATTTTAAATATTTATATATTAATATTTATTTATACTCTTTTTTATGAGACTTTAAAAAATTAACTTATTTGAATGTAATTCAAAAAAGAAATTGGTTATTGTTCCCAAGTTTCTAAGGAATGAAACATTTAATAATTAAATTTAAGAAAATATTGCCAACTCAACGCAGAGCACGTCGTCTTTCAACATTACGATACAAACTTCTTAGACCTCTACTACCAAATAAATTACTTATGCAGTAGATGATCATAGCTCCATGACAACAAGGTGGGTGTTGCTAAAAAGGGAGATGGATGGTAACGAGAATATACGAAAAAATTAATGATTAATTTATGTAAGTTTTCTTCAGTTAATCCATTTTTTTGTTGATGATTTTTACAACAATCTGTTGAAGCGTGTATTCAATGCATAAATATAGTAATGTTGTATACTATACATCAGTGTTTTTCAAAGTGGGCGATGACAGCTTTTGACAAAATTTGAGAACTTTGGAAGTTTTATGTTTATGTAATGATCATTTTTTTGCTGGGATTACAAAAAACCATATCTTTGAACCAGTTAAAAAATTTTTGCATGCTAACTATGCGGATACCTATCAACGTTGTTGTCAATTTGTAAACAAAGCTCAAAATCTTCCCGTGCGCTGGATTGTGGTCAGTTGTTCACGATTTTTGCCCGCATTTTCATCCTCGTATTTGTGAAAACGTGGATTTAGAGCTGTGACAACGCTGTTAACAGAAAAAAAATATAAATTGGATATTAATAAACGCAGAGATTAAAGACAGTTTTTCAAAAAATTTGAGCCTGATATTAACAGTCTTATAAAAAATCATCAAATTCACCCACCACATTAAATTCATTTTTGTTCAATTGTTTGTTCGTTTCAACTTGAATTTAAAAATACTTTTTCTCTGTAAAACTGTAATTAGTTCTCATGAATTTGCTTATCATGCATCAATAGTACTGCAAGTACATACCATGATGAAACAGATCTATCCAGTATATGAATTTGAAAAAAGTTGTACACACACACACACACACACACACACACACACACACACACACACACACACACACACACACACACACACACACACACACACATACAGACACACACACACACATATATATATATATATTTGCATTTCTGACAGTCTTAATTCTATATATATATAAAGTCCAGAACTTTTCGGGCGACCTCTTATATATATATATATATATATACATATATATATATATATATACATATATATATATATACAATACATATATATATATATACATCTATATATACATATATATATATTCATTTCAATTTATATATATATATATTCTAAATTCTAGATTGTACTGGAACAGCTGAAGCTGCCGTTCGAGCACGTATACGTGCAGCCTGGAATAAATGGCATCTCCTTGCCTCTATATTGATGTGGCGTGACATCCCACTACCACTACGATCAAGACTTTGTAAATCTGTGATACGTCCGGTGTTGTTATATGTTGCAGAAACATGGCCAATGACAACCAAACTGGCACACGTCCCAAAGGCCGCCCCAAAAAATCCTGGTCGCAATCAATCGAGCAAGACATGAAAGCTCTAAATTTAAATGAAATGGATACAACTGATCGTCTAATTTGGCGTAAAAAATTGATGACAAAGAAAACAACGTCCTACCTAGGAGAACTGGGTCTCTGGGCGCTAAACTAAAATTGATTGATATATATTCATTTCAATCTATTTAAGCTTCTCTCGTTTCTAGTTTCGTTTATTATGTGCTTTTCAATATAATGAAATATTTGGAATTCCAAGAGAATGACTTGACAACAACACACGTTTTATTTGAACTGCAAATTTACGCAGAACTTGAAGTCAAATAACAATTTATAGTAGACAATTGATAACGAAAAATGATCATAAACGGTTGATGATTACACATACAAACACGAAACAGAATATAACGACCTAAAAATGCGGAATAGATATTTTTTTTATAAAATTCAATTTAAAAATTGAAAATAAAGAGATACACACTGGCATTTACTGGTAATGGAACACAGATAGCACAACTTTGTTACATGCAATAATAATAATTATAGGACGTACAACTAAACAAAACGTTAACTTGATTGAAATACAAATAATGAAAGACAAGTAGACATGTTGACGCAACTAAAATGTCGAATGTTCGTTGAATCTATGAAATGTAAATGTTTATATTAAATATATTATCGTTACTTAATCTATTTTACTATTTCTACTTTACTAACTGACCCAGCCTCACTAAATGAAAATTAACATTTTATGTAATTACCTTAAATCAAGCAATGCTTTGCATAGAAAATAATTCATGAAGCCAAACAAAAAGTCGAGAAACAGATAGCGAATCGATAACATTCATTTAAAACAAGTCTAACCAGTAACGCACGCCAAGTGTACGAACTAATAGAAGGTGCTGGTGCAGTCCATAAATTTCATTTGAAACAACTGCAACGACAAACATTTCGTCGTACAATTCAGACTACTTTTCAACCAGATATGGCTGGCTAGCGATTTGACAATGGGTAGTTAGATCATAGGTGGATGTTGATATGTTAGTGTATGCATCGTTTATTATACATTTTTCTGTGCACAAAGATAATCAACTAAATAATTTACTTAGTTTGGATCATTTTATGCTTTGCAGTTGCTTCTTTAGAACTTTTTGAATTTTATTAAACCCTCAACATTGAATGTTCGATCATATGAAAGAATTCGATTAACACGTAATAAGCAGAGTTGAGAGTTAAGTGCTTGGCTGGTTGATATGCAATCTCAGTTAAATGTCATATGAAACATGTTAGCCTAAGAAACATGATTCAAGATAAATGAAATTCAAATGTCTCAAGTTAAGAAAACTTTTGTTGTAATGGAACCAATGGCAGTGACCTGTAACAACAATAAATTTAACAAGCGATGTTTGCCTTTAAAAAATTTTGACGCTGCGTAACAACAATCACGTAAACTTAAATATTTCCTAGCTGTCTAAATCATCGAGTTTTCAGGTTTTAAAACCAGAATGAATCATTTCTAAATTTGCATGTGAGAATGTGAGAACAATTTTGCCTATAATATTGTAAAATAATTTTGGAATGATCTGTTCATAAAAAGTTAACAAAATGAACAAGAAAAATAATTTGTAGCTATCATCTCTTCTACCAGATTTTTTCTTTTGGAGATTAAAACAAAGATAGAACGTGAGCGCGCCAAAGTGATCACCTTTTCATTGCTGGGTAACTTCTGTCAGGGATGTCGGCATCATGTGCAGTGCCGTTTTCATTGAAATCTTTTTTCGACGGATGTGAATGTTGCCAGGTCATCTTGTGATCGGACGATGACAGGGACGATCGTCTGGCAACTTCGCCACTCTACAAATTTTTAACTTGCCGTAAATACAAAATTTATTCATAATTAACAATGATCAGAACTGTTTATGTAAGCTACCTTGATAAATATCCAATATGTAATATAAAACACCATGCATAAATAAAATATCAAGATGACCCAAAGACCAACAGAATTTTTCAGAAAATGCTTGTGAGAATAAGAAATGTTAACTCCCAAGTTACCGCTTCAAGTTACCGCTGTTGAACATTCTATCACCTCAACTTTGCAAATTTAATGCAAATGTGGAATCAGAACGCATGTGTGCAATAATAATGAATATTGAATGAATATTGTTGCAAATAATAAGAACTATATTGTAACAGTAGAGAGAGAGAGAGAGAGAGAGAGAGAGATACCTGATGAAGTGAAGATGGCAGCATTGATGGAGAGGCAGCCATGTTTTTGGGATTAGTCAGATCATCATCCAAGTCGTTTCTAATTAGATTTCTTTTCATATCTACTTGAGCACTGATACAGTTAAATTGTGGTAGCATGTTACTGGCTTTTTAAATAAATTCCTCAAATTAAAAATTGTAAAGCAATTTAAGGCAACTAAAATAAATATCTCCGTCAAAAGTGCAAATTTCAATTTTTTGAAAATTTGAAAATAAAAATACCTAGGCAATAAAGGATTTATGAAGTAAGAGTCATCTTCTTCTTCATCGTTGCAACATTCCTGATTCTTAGATTTTAACTGTAGGAGAGCTGTAAAAAAAATTAAAATATCCTTAATAAATTGTAAAACCTTCCAATTACATCAGATCTGTTCTTGCAAATAAAAACAAACTAACCATAATGTGGATCCATAAATATATTGAGATTAAAGGTAACAAAACCGTAGATAAACTCAACATCCCAAAATCACTCGATAGCAATATCAGACATTTTAATTACATAAAAATTTGGACAGAAGGTATCACAAGCAAAAAATGGTAAGATGAAACTGGCGACAGTAGTAAAAACCGAACCGCAGTTTTTAAACAAATTTAACGGGTTAATAACACATTCATGAATTCTCAACAAAACTCAACGGCCAGATACCGACAGCTGAAACAAACTGATCACAAAATACGCAATACTGGACTGTAAAATGTGCAAAGAACTTATAATAATCTAAATCAACAGAAATTCTCATCAGAAATTCAATCAACTTTTCTGAACAAAAATATAAATAAAAATGCATGTTAACAATTTTAAAATATAAGCAATTTAAAAGGTAATAAATGAGAAGATGGTGCGAAGAAGACATTAGGAAGGAAGGAAACAAACCTGCATCATCGGTTCTGACGATATCACGGTCACTGTCACTTGATTCTATTGAGAATAATCATACGTTCATTTGTATTATGAATTAACTTATTAAAACTATTAATGTCATAATTATTAATAAAAAATTATATATATCTCAAAAAATTTGCCAAAGCCGTAATTTTTATACATTTGGGAATGTAAAAAAATCAGAGCATTTATAAGAGATAAAATTTCTATTCATTTATTTCATATTTTATTATTAACATTTAGCCATGCCGGTTGCTTATCTATTAATTTTAAAAGTTATTGCTAATTTTAGTTTCATATTTTACTTAAAAAACAAACTATTTTTCAGCTTTACTGTAAAAGAAAGTGCGAACTGCATTATCTTCGGACAAGAAATTTTTTATTAATTAAAAAGCATTTAGCGAGCCATGGCGAGTATTTAAACATTAAAGAGCTTGAACGCGTAGAATATTGAATGGCCTCATTTGCCAATTATAACCAGCTTCTGATGCGTGTAGCGAACTTCTATTTAGTTGACAATTTAATTTTAACCGATACCTGTTTTTATAAAATCAACGAAAAACTTGTAGATATAAAAATTAAATAATAACAATAAAAAACGTTATAATAAAATTAGAGAGAAATATCAGATAGAAAAGAAAGGAAAATAAAAGATATTATAACTATTTTTTTAGTTGTTAGTAAAACACTTCAGACTACCTATGACTATTATCATGTCATCAATCAATCGATCGATCGATCGATTGATATCGATCGATCGATCCATCCATCAATCAATCAATCAATCAATCAATCAATCAATCAATCAATCAATCAATCAATCAATCAATCAATCAATCAATCAATCAATCAATCAATCAATCAATCAATCAATCAATCAATCAATCAATCAATCAATCAATCAATCAATCAATCAATCAATCAATCAATCAATCAATCAATCAATCAATCAATCAATCAATCAATCAATCAATCAATCAATCAATCAATCAATCAATCAATCAATCAATCAATCAATCAATCAATCAATCAATCAATCAATCAATCAATCAATCAATCAATCAATCAATCAATCAATCAATCAATCAATCAATCAATCA